CCCACAAAAACTAAAGCCTCCATGAACCTAGGACAGTTGATGGGTCACTCATGCACCATCAATAAGTGTGAAGCAGCCCCCAATATAGTATCCTGTAAAGAATAATATTGTTAAGAGATTTGAGATAATTTATTTGAACAATAAAGTAATTACTAATTTATATAAATTTACATGCTTAGGATGAGCTGCTCGGTGGCTGCCTGCAATTAAAGAAATGCTAGGCTGGATGGTATGTACAAATGGTTGTGTAGATGCCTCCACACTATAAGAAATGTGGAAAAGAAATGATAGGAAAAGAAATGTTAGGCATGTATAAATAATATAAATTACGTCTTCTAAAATTTGGGGGTAGGAGTGGGTGTATGCCACTTGCTGGATCATGCTGTGCCTAAGTGGATCGATCTGGAATATTATGAAATTGTCTAGCATAAGTCATCTTGTAATTGTTTAAGCTGTAGTATTGTGAGACTTAATTGTAGTGACATTGCCTTTAGCATTGATATGCAACTAACTATGTGTGCGCACGGGATATGATATATAATACTGTTCTCACAACTACAAATGCAATTTTTATTGTCTACTAAATCAACCCTGAAAGATCGAGATGACATGTCAACCACTTGAAACTCACGCATATTGATTCAAATAGGCTGTGGTAACTTACGTGCTTCTTGCTCGATCTTTTGTAGTGTTGTTTGTACTCTTGATGCGAAGGGCCTGGTTGCATCAATTTTAGAACCCTCTGGCATATCTATTCTTCGCAACTGCAATGCTACAACATTATAGTATATTGTTGTAACAAACGCTTAAATGGGCAAACCCCTAGCTCTTTTAAGAACTCCATTAAATGACTCTGATGCATTAGTTGTCATAACTTCATAATGAAATCTACCATCATAAGTTAGAGCCCACGATGTAACATCACGCTCCACCAACCACTGGTGAATATCAGCCTTCACCTTTATTATATCTTTCATGTACCTATCAAATACTATTGGGTCATCAGTGTTCTCGGCCATGTACATCTTGTGGCATAAAAACTCAACGCCACCGACACTCATTCGACGTACTAATTTTTTAAAATTTTCATGTATGTGATAAAGGCAGTGGCGATGTGCAACATTTGGAAAAATTTCATGACAGCCTCGCACCGAACCAGCATTCCTGTCAAAAATAATGCATAAATCAAGTCGATTATTAACAACTGGTAGTAGTATATGCAACTGGCTCAGAAATCACACCCATGAATCAACACATTCTGATTCTACAATTGCGAAGGCGATGGGGTACAATCCATTGTTAACATCAATTCCCACAGCGGTTAGTTAAGTACCTCAATATTTACCTAGCAGGAATGTGCCGTCAAGGCAAAGAACAGGGCGAGAGTAGCTCCAACCATTTATCGAAGGCCCAAACGAGAAAAATAATCTCTTAAATCTATGATTCTCAGACGTTTGTATCTTATAAATGGTTTCAGGCATTGAAAACATAACAGCGTCCATGAACAAATTTATGGTTTAGTAAGACTCCTCCCAACTACCAAACACTATTTTCACAGCTTTTCGTCTGGCATCCCAAGCTTTAATATATGAAACTTTTATGTTGAACTTTGCTTCAATTTAACATATAATCTCTCGCGACTTGAGCTCCATATGCCTTCTGATACTAAGCAACATGAAGTAGCTTATAAATTAAGAATTACATTGTCTATATCCAGTCGCTAGAATTGGAGTTGCGCAAGTATGTTGGTTCTTCATGGAAGATATTTTTCATATGCATCCTAGACGTTTGCTCACCCCCGCATGCAAATGTCATATACATGGTATGTCTGACCTGTCACTCTGAGCACAAGCCACTGTAAATTTATGTCTGTTCAAAGCTACAATGACATACTCCACATTATTTATTATTGAACAACCTTGTAATGCGAACTGAATATCTTTTTTCTTAGTAAAACACATACTCTCCATCAAGTCTATTGGTATTGAAAATTCACCCTCGACTTGGCTACCAAAATAATCCCTATCATTTGCTACATCCTCATCTCATTCTCGAGTTGATGAATATGTCTTCATAAACTCATGGTTTACAGTTATTCCTTCTGTAGTGCCAAAATTCGTGTAACAATAATGTTGGACCATGCTATGGATTTTAAGATTTATATCGACATTCACTTCATCTAAACGATATTGTATTATCATCATCATCAGAACCTGGATCGCTCGATCAACTACTCATCATTTCGTAACCATCATCAATATTGATCGATGGTCCCTCAGAAGTTTCTGGAATGTCACGGCAAAAACTTCTTTGTCGTTCACTCCATCACATAAACCATATTTTCTTAACAAGAGAAAATTTCTCAGACAATGATAATTTATGTAATACACATTAAAAATTCATAAATGAGAAACTTACTTAGGACATTGAAGCACGAGACTTGGATTGGCCGAACAACCTTCTATCACCCCGTCAAAATTATGTCTCATGCACTTGAGATGTTATTTGCTTAAAAACTAAATTTTGTGCAGCAATATCTTTGACCTCTACATAAAGTAGAAGTATCTACCCAATTGCATGAGATAACACTATTTGACATACCTCGTCATCCTCGATAGCTGAAGCTATGAACTCATTCCCTAAGGGCAGATGACAAACCAAGTTTGTTGTGTACTTCGACGTATCATATTTAAGAGCTTTCAAAATTATAGTCTTCAGTTGCGCTAAGTTCATCTTACCAGACACTTGCAAGGGCCAGTTCCTCCCACCAATATATGTTTGTGAATATTTATTATCTAAAGACAACTGTCCACCATATATAAGGACAAACGATGCTCTCCATCCAGACATTGTGGAATACTACGTATCGATAATGATATCCTATACAAAATTTTATTTTCAAAAACTTTGTAACATATCTTTATAAAATATAATAGCATTTACATTGCAAAAAAATAAAAAATAAAAAATAACATGGTTTCGCAGTCACATTACTGCATCTACGATCATTTGTATTATAAAAAATAATTTTCTTTTAGAAAATATATTTAAAATATTATTTTAAAAATATAATTTTTACTTACATGAAGTCAAAATATTACATTTTCTAATAATCTGCCGTAGAAAATTTAACTTGGATATATTACTTATCATAATTTTTTTATTAAATATTTTTTAAAAAAATTCTTCAAATTGAATATTCCTTTTAATCCTTCAAACTTCCTAAAAGGCTCTAATCATTACAAAAATATATTTATCCAAACAAATCTACCCAAACATTATATCTCTCAAAATAATATCATTTCTACATTTGCCCAAACAAATCGTAGCAACAACAAAGTATTATCCACAAATCAAAGTTATCTTCAATCTTTCGTAATGAAAAAACACATCTCACACACAAATCTTAAGTCTTAGCACTAAAACACACATAAACTTTCAACATAGTACACTCTAACGAAGAAATGCTACTAAAGGAATGCAATTTAAACAAAAAAAAGTTAAGGAAATTACAAAGAAGCTTACATGTCGACTCTGCTCATCGTTTGCGAACTCCCTTTCCCGTCGGCTGCTCTCGTTCGCAAATTTAAGGCATGAATTGGGGGGTCGTGAGAGGATAAAGTAAATAGGGTAAGTCGTCCATTTAACGGACGACTTTGGCGAGTTTTAATTTTTTTTTAAGACATTGGTTAATCGCTTAATTATGATTAAGACGATACTTAATTTAAAAAATTTCCCAATATTAAGTATCAATACATGTATATCTTTGTTGCATTCACAAAACAGTTAGTTTTCTGGCATTATTTAAGTAGGTTTCCACATCTGGCAGGCAACATGTCACAACAAAAATAATTATTTAAAATTTATGTTATTTAATTGTGTATTTAAGGAGTTTTACAGAGGTGCAATTTCCAAGCCATATTGCGAAGTTTCTCCTTTGAATTGGAAATAGTTCCAAAATATACACCCAAAAGTTTTGAACTAAAAAATAATTGTTAATACAAATGGTGGTCCAAGGTCCAGCATCGATCGGTTAGTGAGGGGTTTACTGGTGGTGGGAGCCTATTTAGAGCTCTCTTGAATCTCTAACTCAAGGGTCAAGGTCCCACCATCCCAAGCACCCTCCTCATGTAGAGAGTGAGAGTCTATTTATAAATTCTTGTAAGTGGCATTACACATAAATATGGAGAAATCTGGAACAAATCCAGAGAACTCTATCGGACGACCCATATTGATTCCCTTTATCATACAACTTTCATTCAACATTTAGGTGTCTTAATGATATAAGAATTAAATGATATTGGGCTCGTTATATTCACCTCATCGAGCTGCTTGATTCAACTAAAAATATGTCATATTTGGGAGTAATTATTGTGTCCGGACACCGAAAGCGTCCAGAGATCAATAACAATGCGCCACGTCACTTGGAGTTCGGTATCGAGCACTCAGTATCGCTCGGTATACGCCCGGATTTTCGGTTTTTTATCCGGACGTAATAACTTTTCCATATTTGGAGATCATTTGACATCCAATTAATATCTTGAAGTTTCTAATTATACTTCAGGGCCTTGATTTAGGCTCATTAGGGCTTGGATTAAATCTTTTTTTTTTTATTGAGTTCGTTTCATCGAGTTTAGTTTGATTGTAAGCTTGCTTAGATCTGAATTTTGATGGCCCTAGATTTAATTTTGAAAGTTCTCAAATCAAATATGCATCAAGATTCATGCCTGAGGGCATTTTGATGGCGATATCATAACTAATTAAACTTATAGCGGAATTAACTTTTATACCAAGCAACTCCTGTTATCCGACAACACATCTCAGAAAAACAAAGCAATTGATGTCAATATTTCCTTAAATGCAATAGTAAAACTCCCTAGAAATTCTAAAAAAAAAACCCTAACTTGCATCGGCAGATTCTGCCATAAGTGCTCAATAGCCCAAAATAAGTACCAAGTTTGAGTTTTTCAAGCAAAAGTTGAGGATAGACAAAGAAATACCTGATGGGATCGTAAACAGGGTTGGGAAAGAAGGCGACCGGCAAGGAAGCGGCGGAGAAGTAGAGATGAGCTGCTAAGGCCGCAAACGCTCCATCCGGACATGGATAATGATAAAGAACTGCCGCTTTCTTTAGCGAATTCATGGCGGATTAGCAACACCAATGAATAATGTCTAAAACTAGCAAGCAAAACCAACTGAGAAAATTGAATTCGTGACAACACAAAGAAGAGGCTCCGAAGAAAAATCAGAATATCTAAGACAAAACTTCACGGCGGTGAAGAAGAAATAAAAGGAGTTCACGAGCATTTTTCATATTTACATACAATTTTCTTTATGTAATGTTTATTTTTTTTTATTTTTTTCATAATTATAAAATATTATTAATATATTATATAATTTCAAATATATATATTGATGTAATTTAAATACTATTTATTATATAATCCAATAGAAATTTTGGCAAATTTAATGACATGTAGGTGAATAAAAAAATTTATTAAAAACCTTCAAATAATAAATTTTAATTGTAAATATTTATTCAATAGTAACTTTATTTTTTCTTCTTTTGCTTTAGTTTCAAACTAATTATCAATAATTTCATATGGCTATCATTATTAGGGACATGATAATTATATAATGATTGAATCAATTCAAAATATTATCCGTTTAAGGTTCATTTAGAATACGTTTCTTTCTGCTTTATTTTGCATATCATAATTATAGTTCTTTTTTTACCACTATTTTTTCATTGCTTTAAAAAAACTTTTGTGCTAGGAAAATACTTACTGCAACAATTTTTAAAAAAATTATTTTCTCTACAACAGCTTTACAGCTTAATTTATCTCATGTCATATTGAACTTCATAATTTTATCATTTTTTTAAAATATTTTTCTGAATATCACTCATCCTGAAAACACTCAACATAAACATGCTTAATTTAAAAAAATTAATTAAAACTTTATTTATTACAAAGTTTGGCTTCTATATTTGATCCAATTTTTATTGAATTTGATTTCAAAAAATATATATATAATATAAAAAGTTTATTCTCAAACCTTCTTGTAATTATATCTACTATAACAATTTTATTCATCTAAAGTTTGAATAAATATTTGTTTTTGTTTTCCTTCTCATTTAAAATCATGGCACAACAACTTTCTTTTAAAAGTTCTTCATTTCTCCGCCCATAACAATAGCAAAATAAGACGTCGTTTGGAACATCTTTCGATCATTATTTTTTTTGTTGCTTTCATTAAATTTTTGTGCTAAAAAACTGCTTTTAAAAAAAATTAGAAAGTTGTTCAAAAAAAGAGAAATTATTTCTGTGCGCAGTCCAGATGGGAAGAACCGTCTGCATTGTGAGAGTATACACTGTGTACACTAATTTGATACACACTGTATATAAATGTGTACATAGTATATAACTTACATGTCCGAACAGTTCTTCTGATCTGAACTCTGCACAGAATAATTTCTCTCCAAACAAAACCTAAATTTGATTTCCTTATTGAATTGGTTCATTGGTGGTTAGAGAAAGAACATTGCTTTCCTCTCCCACAAAGCCACCGTTCCCTAAGTGCTAAAGCTTTGAAAGCATAAATTCCATCTCCATCTCAGCATTGAATCTCATACCATTCCTCCTTTACAAAGAACAGTGATGCATACATTTATACGTTATTTACTATATATCTTTCTTTATGGTCTATACGCTTCCCCTTTGTTCATTCAAGCCATTTATGGAACTTCTTTGGATTATTACAAAATAATCAATATCTTTTAATAAATTTCATTAATGTTAGATTATCTTTTTATAGTAGTTATTTAGTAAAAAAAAATAGAACTAAAAATTTTGTAATAAAAAAATTATCCGAAGCGAAGCAATAGTTAGCTATGTAATTAAGTATTAATTATGAATTAATTTTCTATTAAGAAATAATTACCTTTCTTTTTCCTATAAAAATGAAGTGTAAAAACAAATTGAAAATTTGTCAAAATAATGCCAAATAGAAAATAGAAAATGGTCATACTAATGCCCAAAGTGTCTTGATTATTGAATAAGTAGAATTTTATTTGAAAAACTTTTTATTGAATAATTATATATATTTAAAGAAAATATATATTTAAATTGGTGCTGAAATATTATTGATTTAGTCGATAATTTGGCATCTTTTATGTATTATATGTGGGTGTTAGGCAGTTTAAATGATAAAGATTTTGAAAGTTTTTGTCACATATATATAAACATGGGTCTACATTTTATCAGTTTGAATAGTTTAATTTAGGGCTTGGCTAAGTCAATTGATTTCAGTTGTAAATTGCGGAAAATAGAACCGACTATAATCGTTTTCGAACCAGAATACATCAAATTGAATTTTATTCAATTTTGAATGAACCAAATATAATTAATTTAAATAATGAGCTTAATTATTTTTAACTTGAATAATATAAATTAAGAAAAATAATGAATGATATTTATTAAAATTATAATTTTGATATATGAAATAAATAATATAAATGTTCATCAACATGTCACTTGTTTATTTATATGATTTTGTTGATTTAATATTTGCATAAAATAATATTTACAATTCTATTTTTAGTTAGATTGATTTTGCAAAACCAAAAAAAAATTGATGCAATAATCACAATAAAAAAAAAGTTAAATTACAAGCAATAACCAAACCAATACTTTGACAATGAAACCAAATCAATAAAATAAGATAAGCTTAGTAACATTTTTAGGTTTTATCTATATAATATACACCCTATGCATACATTATATACATACATAATTTAATTTAGGGAGACTTACATACATACATAATATTTATAGCATCAAGAATAATCATTCTCCACAAATGACAAATAAAATAAAGACCTATATAGATCGTAAGAACTCTAAGAAGTAAGACCATCTAACAAATATAATGTTTCATATTTTATTAATATTTATAGAGCTTTTAACTCTAAAAATTTATAAATATATCTTCACTCTCTATATGTGGGTGGCTTTTAGCTTGAGATTTAATAGAGCTCAAGGGTTTAAAGGATCTCTGAGCTTCATTGGACCACCACAATTCGATCACCATCGATAAACCTTCACCCTCTGACCACTAATTATAGTCCTCCAAATACCATTTCCCAATGACGACCCTTTGACCACTACCACTCGACTATGGTCCTACAACCACCATCGTCTGATCATATTCTCTTGACCACCATCACTCGATAAGAGTTTCCATATCACTATTGCCCTACTGCGATCCTCCAACCATCATTACTTGACTACAATGTAATGCCATGGTCTAATTTTGGAAAAATTATTTGCTTTACTTTTTAATTAATCTACCAGAGCAACTAATCTTGTTTCAATAAGTGGAAACCATTGAAAATAATCTCTAAATTCTTTTCTTCAATTTTCAAATTTATTTATTTCTCAAAATTTATATTTAATATCTCGGACCAATCACAATACATCATTCTAAACTCCTGACTATAAAAGAAAATATGAGAAAGTATGATATGTTTCACTCTAATCACGACTCCTTGAAAATATATAAAAATCATAGATGGAGCTAACAACTAAGTAGATTATTAGAACATATAATTGTAATTAATACAAGACAATGAAAATATTATGCATGTAATCATTTAATCAATATAAAAATAGACATGACTATGAATATATAATTGTAAAAGCAGGTAACAGTCAATATGAATAGTGTCATCTCATATAAATAATAAAATTAGTGTTGGTATCTTATGAACATTGATCAATAATCATAAAAAGAATCAGTAGGTTTTATTATTCTTAGACAAATCAGTTACAAAATAGTTTATATATTAATTTATGAAATCAATACACTTTCCTTTGTCATATGCATGTTGTACGATATCCATACAATGCATGTATATCAGGTTATATATATTTTGTCACATATTTTGTCACCTAAAACTTAGTATTGAGGACTCGGTATTGCTCGGTATACATTCAAATACGTTCGGATTTCACCGGACGTAATAATTGCTCCTCTACGAGCCACCTTCGAAATAACAGCTAAAGCTAAATTTTTTTTATATATAAGATATTCCAAAGAACATATAAAGCAGATAACTTTCTTGGGCCCCGCCCCAAAGTACCTCACTGGGTCCTACCAAGTGGAAATCGGCCAGCCGAAACCACGAGCCCATCTACTGTGAACGTGACGACAAAAAATTATGCGGACCTGGACCCAGCTCTTTCCAGAAGTACATGGGCCCACACAGAAGCTCCTTCTGACCAATGGCGTCCATCCACGTGGACCAATGGCTCATGAAGGAAAGGACAATAATCTCAGAATATTTGGATATAAAGCCAAAGCAAAAAAAAGTAGAGAGAGAGTAAAGGCTCGATTGCGAGGAAAGCAACCTTCTTGCCTTTATAAAGCTACAGAGGTTCTTAAACCGCCGCCCTCCCTCTCTCTCTCTCTCTCTCTCTCTCTCTCTCTTATGTGAGATTTGGTATACTCTCTCTCTCTCTCTTTCTGTTATTTTCTGTCTGACTAAGTTCAAATCAAGAGATAGTTTTAATGGGTTTTTTTTTTTGAAGCAGAGCTTAGAGGGAGAAGAGAGGATTGATAAGAGATTTAACAGTACAAAAATGGCGCCGGTAACTCTGCCGCCTGGCTTTCGCTTTCATCCGACAGATGAAGAACTGGTAGCTTACTATCTGAAGAGGAAGATTAATGGAAGAACAATAGAGCTCGAAGTGATACCAGAGGTTGATCTTTACAAATGCGAGCCATGGGAATTACCAGGTGATAGATAATTCATGCTTGATTGAACACTACGGATCCTTTGTTTCAGTCTCTTCGAATATTTTATGAATTTTCATGGAGCCTAATTTGCTGAATTTCTACTTTTTTTTAGTTTAATTAGCACAATCAAATCTCATGTAATAAAAAAAAATTGGCATTATAAGGTTCTAACTTAATCAGTAAACTCAGTAAACAACTCATCATTTGTTTATATGAGATTAATTAATATTTCTTTGTTTAAATATATATATATATATATATAATATAATAATATATTATTAAATATATATATATAATATATTATATATAAGTAAAGAGCCATGAAAATACTTATGTAGATATATTAAAATTTCTATTTTATTATGCATAAAATATAAAAAATAAGTGAATTAGGAAATTTAATGAAAAACATTAAATACATTTATGTTTAATAATAAATATATAAATTAAAATCATTAGCATCCTTGACATTAATACTTTGATTCAATTGCAAATAAGCTGGAGAAAATCAACAAATAAAATTTAACAAAATTTTAAATCGAGAACCTCTCCTATTTTTTTTTAATATTTATAATATGAAATATGCCTTTTCTTCCTCTCCTATAAATGCTACCAGCCCTAATAATGTCTCTTGTTCAACCACTCATATTAAAGAAATAAAAAACAAAACAAAATGATTAATTAATAATAAAAATAATAATGGTTCAACTAAAAAAATTTCAGCTCGAATATTTTTTTAAGACATTTAAAATCAATTAGACAAATTCACACACATCATATATAAACTAAAATTCAAGACCTTTAATTGATTGTCAAAACTTCAAACCACAGACCAAGATGAGCTATATAACTTGAGCTTCATTTAAGATTCATTATTTTGCTATTTTTTAAAGCAAACTTTTAGTTAAAAAAAATTTGAGTTTTAAAAAATTTTTGTACTAAAAAATTAATTTAAAAAACATAAAAATTATCACAAACTAAGCCCGAAACTCTAGAAAAAAAATTAATGTGTAATGTAAACATTAATGTTCAGAATATTCAAGCCGTAGTCTTTGTATAAATTATCTAATTCTATCGTGCCTTTATTTTGCACTTCATCCTCGCTGGGACGACAAGCAGTTCTTTTGCTTGGAAGGCAGTGCTTAGCTTTCAAATTATAGTATTACAGAGCAGGCTTCAAGCTCTTACCAATATTGGATTTTGCAGCTTTGCTTTGATATTTGCAATTTCTTCAGTAACTGGCCTATTTAAGATATCAATATATTTGTAGAACGTATAGTTCACTTTCATGAGGATAATAGTGATTTAAATCATATGAAAAATCAAAGCACCAAATAATTCAGACAGGAAGAAAGTTCTAGTCCTAATATTTTTAATAAATGAAGCCCTTCCATTGCTTTGAAGACATTTTCCAACTTTTAGGCACTAAAAACCTGATACATATTACATTAAGATGAGCTTAGAGTTTTGGATTCATACTAATATTTTGTTTGAGACAATTTTTTTATATTTACTAAAGTAAATTTTTAATATAAAAATTTCTAATTCAAAAAATTTTTACTTAAAAACTGTTAAAAAAAGTAAGAAAAAACCTGCTCTAAATGAAGGCCTTATATATATATATAATATATATATATATATATATATATATATATGGAAACGTCCAGCCGCTATCACCCGAAAGGGCGCTTGATGGCGTGACTAATCCTCGACTGACCTAAAAGAGCTAGGCACCCAACCCAAAAACCTCCTGACCCGTACTTGATTGGGCCCCACTTAAGAGTTGTTGTCGCTCGAAGGGAATCGAGCATGAGTTAGGGGCTCCCAACCGTACATCTTGATAAAAATTGAGGCTGGATATCCTTAAGCAACTAACTTTTTTTTCTTTCAAAAATAAAGGCAGCTGTTCTAAACTTTTGTGCCTTGGAAACAAGATAAGATCCCAGATTTCATCCATCCTTTCTACTTTATTGACTCCCCTTGCCAAGTGTTTCACTCCACCCCACCCCCCCAAACTCTTCTTTTCATTTGTTTGCTTACACATAAAATAGTTTCAGATATGAAAAGAGATGCCCAAATCAATAAATTACAGAAAAGCAAAGCAGCTGTCACAATAAATAGTAAACCAAGTTATAACTTTTTAATTTCCACAAAACATCAAATAAAACATAATGATGAACTACATTTTTCCTATCTAACAAATCTGATTTATTTTTTTATTGACATTTTATCAGAGAAATCATTTCTCCCAAGCAAAGATCTAGAGTGGTACTTTTTCAGTCCTAGAGACCGCAAGTACCCCAATGGTTCAAGAACAAATAGAGCTACTCAAGCAGGTTATTGGAAAGCAACAGGAAAAGATAGGAAGGTGAACTCACAGAAGAGAGCAGTTGGAATGAAGAAGACTCTTGTGTACTACCGCGGCAGAGCTCCTCATGGTTCTCGAACTGATTGGGTCATGCATGAATACCGCCTTGATGAAAGAGAATGTGAAATTGCAAATGGATTACAGGTATATATAAGCTCAAATTCTTATGATTGTTATATACAGCAACAACAAGAGATTTAAGTCTAAATGTGATGCTAAATAGTTTATCCTCGATCACATTTTCAGTGACACGTGTAAGTCATAGGCTTAAAAACATTTTGATAGGAAATACTGGAGTTCGCAAGTAACCCTAATGGGAAATACTTGATTTCGCAAGCAAACCTAAAAATAATTGGTAAAAACGGCGAGAAAAACTCAAGAATTTCGGTGAAAACAATCCAAAAGAGTAGATTGTATTATAGGAATCAAATCAAAGCAAGCAAAAAAGAAAAGATACAATTGATCCTTAATTTGAGAGAAGGATCGTTCTCTCCCAATCTTTAGACGATGAATCTAGAGCCCAAGACATCAAAGAGAACTCCAAGAGAAACAATAATCAAGCATGCCCTAACTCTAACCTCTCATGCTCTTTAAATACATCTCTTCCTAAGAAAAAAAAAATCTTCCTAATAAAAGCTTAAAAAAGAAAAGATACAATTGATCCTTAATTTGAGAGGAGGATCGTTCTCTCCCAATCTTTAGACGATGAATCTAGAGCCCAAGACATCAAAGAGAACTCCAAGAGAAACAATAATCAAGCATGCCCTAACTCTAACCTCTCATGCTCTTTAAATACATATCTTCCTAATAAAAGCTCCCTAAAATAAACTAATTCAAAATAACCTTCATATGCTTTAGCCGCCCCCTTCCCTCTCTCTATTTGCCGCCCTGGGGGGTGTACATGCTTGGGCGGCAATTTCTAAGGAGGTGACTTAGTCAGCCTCCCATAGAAGTGAGCCGGCCCCACCTAGGCCGGTTTGGTCAGTTCAGGGAGAATTGTAACACATTTGATAGAAAGCTCATAGTGGAAAAAAATGCATAATTTATTTCAATTTTAAAATAAATGTGATTAATAATTAATAATAACTGTTTAAAAGTAGTGTTGTCGTAATTGCTACTCAAGCATCGCTTCCATCTTCATTGCTTTTATGTGGATTATGTGTTATATTTATAGCAGTTCATTCTAATGCAACTTACAAGTTCTTTAAAAATCGATCTTAAAGTAAACTAAATAGATATATGTATAATTGTACTGTGTTTTAGTAGTTAATTACTAAAAAACTTATTTGCATACCCTAATGTAAAGTCATGCTTTTCAATATAACAAGCGAATTCAATACTAGAACCAGTAATATTAAGTCACAAGGCACACAAAATTGAAGAAAAATGATATGAACAAAAAATAAAAAGGTTGCAATGCATGAATTGTTGGATGACCAATTGACAGTGATTCAACCAGAAATCTGGCAGGTAGCATAACTATTTTCCTTCCCTAGTAATTTGCTTAATGAAATTACTATATATATATATATATATATGTGTGTGTGTGTGTGTGATTTTAATCTGACCTTATATGAATGCATTTCAGGATGCCTATGCCCTTTGTCGCGTATTTAAGAAGAGTGAGCCTGGTCCTAAGATTATAGAGCATTATGGAGCTCCATGTGAAGAACACAAGCAATGGATGCTGAATGAACATTCCTCAACCATGACAGATCTCTCTCCTGATGGAATAGGAGATTACCTGGAAAGCAGTAACTATCATTTCCAGCCCTCTGATTGCCCACAAACAATGATTCAATCCTCATTTGAAGCAAGCAACTCATGGATGCAATTTCTAACAGATGAGGCACTTAGCTCCACTACGGCTACATTTCAGAACACAAGTTTTTCCTATGTGCCATCGAAGGTGATTCTTTCCACTATGGTTTTTAAACACTTCATAGTATATAAAGAGAAAATTAACTTTTTGTAGGAAGCTGTTATGGAGAAAGAGATTAAGGCTTCGTTTGGGACGGCTTTTTTATTGCTTTCTAAAACAGAATTTTAGTACAAATTTTTTTAATTTTGTACTAAAACTCCATTTGAGAAAGCAATAAAAAAGCCGTACCAAACGAATCCTAAGGCTTCGTTTGAGACGGCTTTCTTATTGCTTCTTAAAGCTGCTTTCTAGTACAAAATTAAAATTTTGTACTAAAAAACTGCTTTAAGAAGCAATAAAAAAGTCATCCCAAACGAAGCCTAAATGTGTGGCTTGCACATCATTTTAAGGAAGAGTGCAATTTTCTAATGGAGATAAAGAACAATCATTTTAAGGAAGAGTGCAATTTTCTAATGGAGATAAAGAACATGATTCGGAAAGAAATGAAATGCGGATAGCACTAGAATTTTGAACTATAATCACGATTTATCTGAAAATTGTGGCAAAATTTTAAATCCCAGTCATACTCATCTTTAAGATTGATGACAAATATTGTAATACGATTCTCAATTATTCTAAGCCACTTACGTAAATAATATATTGAACTCATTATTAAAATTGTCTGTAACTAAAGACTAAGGTACCCAAAATACTTTCTTGGAATTGAATTTACTCGTAACGAGAACAATATTACTCTAACTTTAGCAAAATATAACACTGAGACCATAAACTTTTAAGGTGCCAGCAAATTGACACCAAAATAGTTAATAAAGCCATGTTTGATGAGGATATACCATATGAGATCCATCTTAGTGGCGGGTATTAATTGAAAATTTGATTTATACAAGAGTTATGTGACTGAATCGCTTATGTTGTTAGGGTTGTAAATCAACATATGCAAGACCCAAAACAATAGCATTGGATTTTTTTTTCTCTGCATTCTGAGATGCATAAAAATGGCTTTAGAAAAGGAATGATGTTTACTTAAATTGGGCATTTAAATATTGAATAATTATCTAATACCACCTATGTTGGATCTACTAATGATAAAAAGTCAACTTCAGAGGACTGCATTTTTTTTTTTTTGGAAAGTAATTTGATCACTTGGAAGAGTAATAAATAAATTATCATAGCCAGTTCTAGAGTAAAGCAGAATACAATGTCATGGCTAAATCACATGTAAAATGATGTGGGTCAAGATTCTACAACAACAACAAGCATTTATCCCACTATGGGGTTGGCTATATGAATCCTTTTTCTCCATTGTGTCCTGTTAGAAGTCAAATTCTCATCTAAATCTAATAAAGAATGGTCATTTTTAATATTTTCTAACATAGTCTTTTTAGGTCTACCTCAACAAAATGATATGGGTCAAGACTATTAGAAGAATTTGATTTTACGCAATCTTATTAACAAATACATTGTGAAGAGTCCTATGCTTCATTGAAGAACCGGATATATTAAAATTGATTGTCATTTCATATGAAATGTACTTACCAATAAGAATATTCTTCCGTATATTTCTAATTCAGAACAAGTAATGAATATCTTCAGCTAAGTTCTCTCTCATTTTTACTCTTAGAAGACACAAGGTGAAGTTAGCAAATATACATGCTAAAATTTGAGGGTGATTTTAGTGTAATGAACTCTTAGAATAGCTCTTTTCACAAACTTACCAAAAGTGATCCTATTATTGGAATAGCATGCTTATTATTAAATTATTGTATTAGAATGATATATAATTTGGGAAAATATACATTTATTCTCTCTTAATTATATCTATTTTATCCTTTAATTTCTTCCCAATGTATTCATCTTTTACACCTATAAATAGGCATTGATGTTCAATGAATAAGATCATTCTTTCCTTATAGCAATAAGCAATATTTTTAACCTCATTTTTTAACATTATAATCACATTCTTTGTAGAATGGTGATTAGTATTTATGTGACTAAAGCTTTTCATCATAATTTTCTACAGAAGTTTGGCTAAAATAACTATATAGCTTTAACCGCATAAGTATCAATCAGAGCATCAAAAAAATGTATGAAAGATAAATTAAATATACTTTTAAAAAAAGTTTCTATTAATAATATTTATTCATTATAATTAATAAAAATATCACTATAAATAAATTTCTAAGGGCAATAATAGCAGTGCTTTGACATGAACTATAGTTTAATTACAGAAGGTGACTTGCATCTTAAATAATTGTAGGTAGATGTAGCATTGGAGTGTGCAAGGCTTCAACAAAGATTCACAATGCCTTCTTTGGAAGTGGAGGACTATTCACTACTCCATATGGCTGACCCAACAATCCTGCACTCTACTAATTACTCGCAAAATACCACCCATGGAGAGGACATTTTGCATGAGTTGCTTTCAGTAGCCTCAGCCTCCCAAGAACTGATCAATAACCCTAATTTCCATGAAGACATGTGGGCCGCAAGAATTACTCCTCACTTCAACGAGTCATTCTCCACCCTAATTGAATCTGGCGATGCTGTAGGTTCCTCAAAGTTCATTGCTAAGTCATGTGGACTTGAAGAGCAATCAACCTTTGTTGACATTAGTGAGTTGGAAGATGAGTTTAAGGAGCAGACGAAAGGGAAGAATCTCAGGGATGTTAAAAAGCTTCAAGAGAATTTGTTGGAGGTATGTTTAGAAATATTAGGTTTATAAATATCAATTGCATTATTGTTGCAATCTATTATCTGTGAATAAGATGGTTACTTTTTTTAAACAGATGAATAAAGAAGTGCAAAAGAAGGATTGCAGTTCAAATCCTCATACAGAACACATCTGTGATGCTCGAGGTAAATACAATTTGCTATAAATGGTTCAGGTTTTGCTGGTTACTAGCATCTAGTATGTAATGAATTCATCATATGGTCAATGAAGTTTAAATAATTAAAAAAAAAAAAGAAGAAAACATAACCACTATGTTCAGTGTCTTTTAATAGGGTGACTTTTCATAAACCATAAAAATGAGAATAATATCATCAATATCTTAATTCTCTCTTTCAATCATCCTTCTAATTTTAAAGATCCCCTTTTTTATCATTGTTCATAATTAGATTTCTTTTTAATGAAAAGAGTTTCAAGTGTTGCAACTAATCAAATTCCCAAGTTCTTTAATTTCTTTAACTAAAAAGATGCTGGCCCATTTCAAATGGCATACAATTGTATATGGGAAATTTGACTTTATGTGTATCATAATATTCAAAATTGAAAAAATATGACATTTATTTGTTTTCTTGGAGAAATATGCTCGAAAGTTTCTTTTAGACCAAACTACGACTACTTTTAAACAAATAGGTGGAACCTTCTGATAAGTATTATGCGACCTTTCAATCATCCAAACTCAGCAACCCTTCATCCCCCAAGTTCCTTTCTCTATTTTTAGCATACACATTCGAGCTGCAGCAATTTTTCACGACGACCTACCTTCATTAATCGTTAGTGAAAGTTAGTAATGTTATTCCTTTGGTTTATTTAGAAGAGAATAGAATGTAGGAGAGAAAGTGGTCGCACTATAAACCCTAAACTTTGATGTTAGTAGATATACTATAAAGCCAAACTGTCTTTCATATTACTAACCAGAAACATCTTGAAATAATAATCGATTATTGGAAGAATCATTTTCGAAATAATAATGGATTTATATTCGTATTCAAATTACCTACTATAAATCTTAAACCCTGAAGTTTCAATCATTGTTTGAGCATGATCGATCATTATTTCAAGATACTTCAAACCAAGATCGATCATCTTCAAAGATGCTTGAAACCATGATCCATGATCTTTGTTGACCTCTGTATCAGTACCACAATCGATACGAGTGAATGGAAAGGGAAAGGACGACCGACAAACATGACGTCTCAAAGAAACATTGATGCACCTTAGTTATGGTCGCAATCACCCGAACTTAGGCTAATTACGAAACATATAGCATTAATGCATTCAAGAAGTCCAAAATACCAAAAATGAGCACTCGTGCGCGATTCGTTTGGACAAGGATGAAAGCATGACATTTGTCAAGCACGACAATGCGCAAAATTGCCCAAATGACATCCGATCATGAAACAGGCTTTTGTCGTTATGCTTGAAACATGAAAATTATCTTAAGGGGAATCTCTCGTGAATAATTCGAGTAAAGCTGGTAAAAAACAATGATCTACGGATGCGATGATGCACGACGTCGCCCAAACGACGTCGATTCGAGAAACAAACTTCGTCGTCTCCTCCAAAATGTTGAAATACCCAGAAATGACTGTAATATGTGGGTCTTCTTGCGAACTTCTCTAGGTGAGAGTTTGAAAATTGGTATTTTAATTAGAGGGGATTTTTAAAATATTCAAATTTAATTATTTGCGTGAATGTTAGCTATTGGAATGCACACAAAATTTCATTGAAGACCAAAGTATGCCTTATGCCCACTTGCATATGTGTTGCGGATCCAGTGGCACTAAGATGGATTAAGTTTCATTCATTTTAGATAGGAGAGATACTTAGTTCATTCAACCTCCATCAAATTCTCATTTAGCATAGTTCATAGGGTATGTTTGTTCAACTGACAATAAGAGATCATGTTATTGCTTGTAAGGGAGCTATATTGTTCGCTAGAAGTCCTATATTATTACTTGTAGGCGAGTTGAAATATTCATTTCAAGCCCCATGTTCCTTGCTTATAGGCAAGTTGCTATATGCATCACAAGTAACTATTAATCTTTAGATTTTGTAAATTTTAATTTTAAGTCTGGTTTAATTTTGATAGCCTCCCGGCATCTCCATGTGTAGGAGAATTTTAAGAAGGCGCTAGGCCTACCCACCATACTAAGAAAAAGTGTTTATGATCGATGCTAAATGACACTGCAACAGATATCTTCAATTTCGCCACGCTACAAAAAATGTGCATAGGTCTTCAGGGTACATGTTTGTAAACTCGCAAGCTTTGCTCGATGTGCTATGAAAAGTGCATACAAGTCCTTAGGGTTGTCCCTGCCCCACTACGAAAAGTGTGTATAGTACCTACCTATTGCATCATGGGCGTTGCGCCGGAGCTCCCCCCGCCATGCTACAAAAAGAAAGTACATGGGGGTTTGCTCATTGCTACGCACACATCGCAAATGGGATTTCAGAGTTTTCAGGTTTATCGAGCATTATACCTTTGCACGTGCGGCGATGGATATGATGTCGAGAGTGGCGAGGGCGAGCACAAATTTTGACTCTCTTTTTTTTTTAATATCTCCTCTCATTTTTCTTGTCCTTTTATCTTCTTTTTATAATAGAGAGATGGTTAGGGGGAGTAGGCAGAGAGAGCGATGAAGGGAGCTAGCTGGTCTTGTTGTAGGAAGAGAGTGGCCAGATGGATAAGAGTTTATTTGGTTCGGTGGGTTGTAGAAGAGTTCATGGGCTTTAGAAGTGGGCTGGGTGAGTAGATGTGAGAGTGAGAGTCTCTTGATGAGGTGGTTTGGGTGCAGGTTGGAGGAGGAAGGCTGGGATGTGGAGATTGTTGTAGGAGAGGAGAAGGGATGCAGTATTTGAGTAGTTAAAGAGGGACAAAGGGCTGGAATAGGAGCTGGGATGCTCTGTTAGGGAGGTAGTAGGATTGAGAGCTGCTGCTGTGAGGCTGGGAGATCTAATGAAAGGGGTCAGTGGTGATGTTGACGAGAGTTGAGTGTCTTGGAGTGGAGTTTGTAGGCAGCAGGTGTGGTCGAATTGGAGAGCAAGGATGGTGTAGAGGACCTGCAAGTGGTGTGGCTTTGGAAATGAGAGTGCAGGCTTTATGAGGGGTGATTGGTGGCTGAGGGTTTGAGGAAGAGGAGCTGCTAGGTGGTCGCAGGTCTGGGAGGCAGTTGGCCGATGAGCCTATGCAAAAACAGAGGGACAAAAGTGTAGAGGTAGTAGGTGGTTGTAAGCTCAGGTGAGGAAGATTGGGCCATTGTAGGGTGGTTAGGTTGTTCGCCAGCACTGGGTGGTCAGGTGAAGGAATTGGAAAGGTTGAGAGGTGTTGGAACTGCTGTGTTAGGAGAAGGGGAAAGGATTCGATGGAGCTTGGTAGAGAATGAGAGAGTGAAGGGGAGTTTGTGCGAGCAGGTTTGTTTGGCCGAGAGCGGTGGTATAAAACCGAGTAGAGAGAGAGTTTGATGGGTTTTTTTTTATCTCACATGAAAAACTGGATGAGGCAGGCGCCGATTTGCAGAGCAAGGATAAGCCATGGACAACATAATAGGCAGGAGATAAGATTGAGTATGTAAATAGATTTTTTTTTTTTTAATTTAGACGTGTATGTATGTAAATATAGATTCATATATCCATGTGTGTGTGTATAACAAAACAAAATCAGCCCCCTGATCAACTCATTGTTCCTTGTGCGCCTCGATTTGCATGCAGTTGTTGCCTCGCTCGCCAAAAGAAATTTCGTATTCGACTTGCGGTAAGACTCATACAATATTACAATCATTTTCAGTCCTTTTCAATGTTCTGAATGCGACGGCAAAGTCTGTTCCATAAATGGATGTCGTTCGAGCGACATCATGCATTCACGCTCGTAGATTGTTGTTTTAGACATATTTGCTTAAATTGATCGCAGGAGGTCCACCTTGGATAATTTTTTTATGTTTCGAGCAAAATGACATATTATGTTTTGTGAACGGACATTGTTTGAGCAATTTTACGCATTGTCGTGCTCGCCAAATGTCATGCTTTTGTTGATGTCTGAATGAATCAAGCACGAACGGCTCATCTTTTGTAAATTGGACATCCTGAATGCATCAAATCGTTCTTTATACAATGCTTCGATCATATTCAAGATACTTCAAAGAACGTTTAATCATTATTTCAAGATACTTCAAAGAAAGTTTGATCATTATTTCAAGCTGCTTCAAACCATGAACAATCATCTTTGAACTATGCTTCGAAACATGCTTCAATCATATGAAAAGATGCTTTAAAGGTTTGTTTCTGTTTGAAGTCTTTAGGATTATTCGATCTATGTTTAATTGTTGTTCGATGAACTTTAAATTAATTCTAGTTACCTTATTATGTATGCAAATGTTTGATCTAATCGTACAAATTAGGAGGCACTACAGTGCTCAAGTTACATGAAGAGTTAGTGGTATGATGGAAAAATTGGTCAAACAACTTCAGGCTAATGAGTACTTGACAATGCCCAGCGATATCCCTTTAGGCTTTAGTCAGTTTTTCATAGCTCCTAAGATGCAATTTTTTAGCGTCATAATTCATTAATTGTTAATAAGAATGGTTGATGATGTTCAGAATGAGATGTACCCAATTATGTTTAATATTGGTAGAAAGAATACAACTTTTGGAATTGCAGAGTTTGTTTTGGTCACTAGGCTAAATTTTGGGGAATTATCATCTAATGAGGACTTACAAAAGTTGAGCAAAAGCAATAGGCTGCTCGAGAAATACTTAGATGGAGATAAACAGTTAAAGAAAATAGGCTTAGATAGAGCTTACTTAGAGTGCATTGTGCCTGCTAATGTGTGGAAGCTTGCTTTGTGTTACTTCGCGGATGGTGTACTCCTCAACCATGACAAACGCAGTGTTGTTCATAAATAAGGATTCTTTAGATACCCATAAGGTAGGCTGGCATGGGAGAAAACATTGAGGGGACTAAAAAGAGACATTGCTCATTATGAGTTCATTACCTTGAACAAGAATACCCTAGCCAAATACGCTATAATTGACAACACCACTACAATACTTGGTTTATGAAGCTATATTAAAGATGGGAAGAAGATGCATTGAGTTCCTTGGGGCGAAAGCACTATGGATGTTGAGCTGGATGAGTAACAAAGTACAAACTAGAAAGGATTTCTTGCATCTGATGATGAATAAGGGCGAAGTGTGCATTTTTTTTTAGGCTTTCTTATGTGTTTAACCATACTTTAAATAGCAAGTCATTGTATATATTCTTTTATAAGCAATTATCCATCCTACTACAGTGCCTAGAACTTCTATGAGTTCATTTGTACATACTCCTCAATATATCCCAACTTTAGTTGTAAAGAGAAAAGCAAGCCCATCTATTTTTTAGGAAAGAGCAGGGTATGCAGTGAAAAAACAACCATCTGAGAAGAAAGCAAGGTTGAAGCAGCTTTTTAACATTCTACGGGAGTTAATGAGTAGGCCAGTTCAGCATAAGACTAATCAAATAGGGTCTGACAAAAAATTAGATGCTCTAAAAACCGTAGTCCATAAGCTTGTAGAGAGGGATGAGCAAAGGAGGAAGGAGGAGAGCGAGGAGTATGAAGTGAGGGGCGGGGGTGGGGTGAAGGAAAAAAGGTGGATATAGACAATGTAACATCATCTCTTGTCATTGGGCCTCCAAATAAGAAAGCCAAGAAGGTATTATACCTCCATATAGAGAAGCCAAGAAGGCAAAGAATATAACCCCATCTCTTGCTATACAAAGAGGGAGGTCGAGAAGGCGGGAAATATAACCCCATCTCTTACAAGCAATGATGAATCCTTTCTACAAGTGCTTCTATGGATTGCTTCAGTGGTCAAGATTATTTGATAAAGGGCAGGAACTACTTTCCTCCAAATTTTCTTGGATGTGGAGGGCCAGCACAAATGAAACTCCCAACATTGTTGTAAGAAAAAGCAATTTCATAATTTAATAAAAATTAATCATAATTGAAATAGTTCCCGCATATATAGTCTAATGAGTCCTGTAAATCTTATTTGCAGTGGCGACTGGGCAGAGTATACAATAGTAACAACACATCATACATCTAATTTCAAAGAAGAATCTTCTAGAAATTACATATAATCACATATAATTCTAAAAGAACCGTTTCTTTGTAGATTTATATACGACAATATTGATTCATATGTCTAATTGAAGTTCTATACATTTCTTCTGAATTTGCATATATAATATCATGGATGTTATAGTTCTTCAATTGCACTATGTGAATATGATTGTTGTGCTAGATATCTTCAACTACACTCTATTGTGCTATTGATTTTGTGCTACATCCCTTACAATTGTTGCATTATAGTTACTATGTTGTTGCTAAATCTGCCATAATATGTTGTATTGTATTTACTTGTTGCTGGCCTTCACATTTGAATCATCTTCAAACCTAAACCTTATGTTGTCTTGCATGTTTGAACCTTGTTATATCGATTATAATTACTTTTTTTTATTATAATCTATTATTTTACAAGTTCGAACAGTATTTCAAACCCGTAATTCAACTATTTTATATTTTTTTCAAAAAATATCTTATTTAAACCTTTTTTTTTAATCATGTTTGAACCTTTATCAAAAGATTTTCAAATAAGAATAATTAATGTTCTAGGTTCAAATAATATTCGATTATGGATCAAATTTTACATAGTATATGGTTTCAACTTTGATCAAATTTATTTGAACTTTGTTCGAACGTTATTCGAATCAATTTTGGTTAGGGCGAACTTAAAAAAGTAATATGCAATCAAAAACATGGGTAGTTTAAACTGAACAAAACTTTCAAGTATATTTCTCCAAAAAATAAAACAAACCTATTTATACAATTTCCAGCGTTATGAGATATTGGGGAATATAAAGTCAAATTTCATTTGCATAATAGGACATTGTGTGGAGTAGTGGGATCACATTCTCTTACACAGGGATGCATCATGGGAAAATGGAAGAAATGTATCATTGATGTAAGAGAAGCGAATGAAGCATAAAATAAAATAAAAAATTCATAGGATCAAAAAATAAATTTTGGATTTTTAAAATGCTAAATCAAAAATGAAAAACGGCATTATATGAAAAGTCATTATTTAATGACAATTATGAGTCAAACGCAATAAAATTTGATCAATCCTTCATCCTATCATTAAGATTGAAAATGAAACAAAAAAAATGTCTTCATCATCAATTGAATCACCATTTGTGATACATAATTCTACTTCCTCATCAATTCAATCATCACAAAATTTTTTTTCTTTTCTTCTAAAAAAAGGCACCTTTTTTCTCTTTATGGATGATAATATAATGAAATTCCGAGTTTCCCTGCACAATAATTGGTTCTTAGTTATCATTATGCCTATGTATTTACAACACAAATATTAGTTTCTTGTGTTCATGCCTTCACTCATACTCAGATTGATTGCAGCAGAAACGAATCAAGGAAATTTTACCTATGAATCAACTGAAATAGACGACAAGCCCATCTACTCACAATCTCAAGAAGATAACTTCTCCATTGGTTTCATCAACATTCAAAAGGATTTCAACCAAGATGAACACCACCACCTTGATAATGCTGGTTCCCCATCCTTTGATGTTTATCATGAGATGATTCAGTTCAATCAAGGACTGCTTATGTCAAGCCAAACCGTCTCTAAAACATTCTTTCATCATATTGCACCAGCAAACAAGATCAACATCCATCTGAATCCAATCAATTTCATGGTTGACAAATATGAATCTTCAGAAAGAGCTAGATCAAGTGTTTCTTTCTTTGAAAATTTTAAGAATTTCTTTTGTAACAAGCTGAAGAAGGGCTCTATTTTTGGTAGAGGTGGAGCAAATGGCATGCTAGGTCTTATTGAAGTTCTTTTAGCTTCCAGCTTTTATCATGGAGGGTTATTGGAGCAATCCAATTTGTCGAGGGAAGATATGCCTTCAAGGGTTGCAGCCATACAAGCTGGGGGCATAAAGCTCACGAGCTATGACGGAAGGAAAAAAGCAGAGAACATGAAAAGGATGAAATGGAATGATGGGAAGAAATTTTGGTTTCCAAAAATCAGAGGGAAAAGCATTTCAAGAATGCTTTTAAATGGGAATTTGCTGCCTTGGGTCTCTATGCTTCAGCCTTCACACCACAGCCAGTAATTTTATTTGGACATACAAATTCATCTGTTCTAACACAGAATACAAGTAGTTTCAATTTGGTTTTCATTAATTATATATATGTATCTAGAAGAAAGGTTCATTGTATTGTTGATTTTTAACATGCATCGTAATTGTAACATATCTATTTATTAGCTGCATCTCTTTTTATAATTTCTTCTTATAGCCGGATTAATCTCTAAAATCTTCAACTTCCAAGTCTCTTAATGGATATTCAATATTAGTGCAGCGAAATCAAGTGGTCAGTAGTCACACAAAATTTGTGTGGTCTCCTTTGCATGTTTCCTTACGTTGTTTTATGTAATTCAGTAAATCAAAGAAAGCAAAATAAAACCCCCACATCACGATTTCTAATTCAATGTATCCCAAGCTTACCTAAAGATTAAAATCTTACACTCCTGAAAAACATTTAAATAAAGCCAAAATCACTGGAATGCTTTTTAAGTATGCTGTCATAGGATTGTCTGGAGAAACAAAACACGCCTAGTCCTGAAGGATTTTGAAGCATTTAAATTTAGGTAGATTTACATACATACCATTCTATACTATTCTATTTACATATTTAACACCTAAAACTTTAATATTACATACATACCACCCATAATTCATTTTCATATCAAATATGAGTGGTAGAAATGAAATATATGAGTGGTAGGAAGGAAATATGAGTGCCATATTTGATATTAAAATAATATAGGGTGATATGTATATAATATTAAAATTTTGGGTGTTAGATATGTAAATAGATGATATAAAGTGGTATGTATGTAAATTTTCCTTAAATTTAACATTACTACGCACCAAGCCTACAACTATAAGGTGCATTATTGTATTGGACTGTCAATGCTTTGCTTTGAACTGCAGGTTTCACTATCGAGCAGCCTAAATAGTCTAACGGCCTGAGAATTGATAAATGTTTGGACATCACAGCTGTTTAATATGCAGCATCCTTTAATTACAAAGGCAAATAGATGAAGCGTTCCTTGATGGAAACTAGCATCAAATAGTAATGAATGAAGATTGATAATTCCTAATCTCGACTCCAAATAACTAGGATAAGACTGACAAGAATAGTTATGTTGATGATTATGTACCTTTGATATTACAAAAGCGATTTGAAATGCATCTATGGATTCAGCGACTAGTATGGTGTTTTCGAGATCATTTTCTCCTCTGCGGATCCCGGCTAAGGCCATGCTGCTTCAAAGTTTTGATGTAGCTTCTCATGAGGGAAAACTTGTTAGAACCTAAATGATAGAAGTAGTCCCAAGTGTAGATTCCAGTCTTATGTAAGTCATCAAAAAGAATTCTAGAAGACAAATAGAACTGTCTTAGAAAAAAAATATCAACCGTATTAGAGCAAAAGGAGGAAAAGGGCTAACACTAGCTCGTACCTAATTCCATAGTTACCTATTGGTTCAGCTGACATGATCCCAACATGACGCCTACCAAAGATAACCTACAACGTCAGCCAAAAAAAAAAAGTTAGCTATAATATTTAATATGGGAGATCAACATTTAACACAAATGCAATCCCCCATGTTTGATTGGATCTCAATTACAACACTTGACCATACTCAGAGTTAAGGATATCACTATGTTTTGGACTGGTGGTCACCATGTCTGGAGAGAGCATCCGTTACTTTTTTTTTCTAACTCGGGCTTGTTGATGCGGACATCCAACCGTCCATGCCAATCCGAGGAGGAGCTGCTGCCATCAATTCCGTTCTACATCACATGTATTGAATCTCGAAGTCATAACACAATAGCTTGGAAAGCCACCGCTGATGCTCCTCTGTCACCATCATCTGCTCTAACAGGAACTTCAAACTTCTTTGGTCGGTCCTGACTATGAAGTGTCTTCCTAATAGATAAGGTTGCCACTTTTGTATTGCCAACACTATTGCCATCAGCTCTCTTTCATACACTGATTCAGCATGGACCTAGCAGTCAAAACCTGGTTGAAATAAACTATGGGTCTCTGACTCAGCATAAGAACTGCTCCTAACCCGAAACCTGATGCATCAGTCTCTACTACAAACGGCTAGTTGAAATCTAGTAGTGCTAACACAGGAAAACTCGTCATGACTTTCTTCTACTGCTCAAGTGCCTGGGTGGCTTCCACCCCCCATTTGAAACTACCCTTCTACAGTTGCTCTATCAATGGCCATGCTATAGATCCCCTCACAAACTTCTTGTAGTATCCTGTAAGTCCCAAGAACGCTCTCAACTCCTTCAGGGTTTTGGGTATGGGCCACTCCAACATATCCTCTATCTTAGAAAGATCTGCAGCTACTCCTGATTTGGATAATACATGTCCCAAATACTCCACCCTTTATTGTGCAAAGGAATACTTCGTCAAATTGGCATACAGTTGATGTTCCTTCAATGTCACTAAAAGTACCTTCAAATATTCCACATGCTCTGCCTCAGACCGACTATACACTAAAATATCATCGAAGAAAACCAATACAAACTTGCGAAGGTAGGGCTGAAATACCTTGTTCATAAGTGACTGGAAGGCAGTTGAGGCATCGGAGAGCCCAAAAAGCATCACTAAGAACCTATGATGCACCGAAACTCCTCTTAAAGAGGGCATGCAGTGTCGGACACGGGAACGCGTCCGACACTGTATGGACACGTGTCCAACATGGCATTGGAGTGTCGTAATTTAAAAAAAAATTAAAACTAAAACCGGACACGTGTGTTGGACATGCATACACGCGTGTCCGGTTATTAAATAATAAAATCGTCCGATTCGTTAGGTACATGCTCGGTACCGCTAGGTATCGCTAGGTACATGCTCGGTGGTCCTGAGCAGGTACATGCTCGGTACCGCTACGTACATGCTCGGTACCGCTCAGTACATGCTCAGTACTGCTAGGTACATTCTCGGTACTGCTCGATACCGCTCGGTATCTTTCTATATAAACAACTTACGAACTTTAAAAACAACCAGGTCGAACCCCGCCAAGGAGCAGCGCCCCCTTGGACCCCCGGTAGACCAATATATTGTTGTATTCATGTTGCCTTATTATAGGAATATTTTGATTTCATTTCATACCAATTTAACTTGATGTATTCCTATGTATGATTGATTTGTTACAATCTTACCTAGATTAAAACAATGAATAATCAAGATATAAATGAAATTATAATTTCTATGTTGAAGGATAGTAGTTCAAATAGAGAATATCCATTATGATTTAGGATGAATATACACCAAGCTCTAATTTGTTAGTGTCATTTAATCTATTTCACCAGTGAGTTAGTGTCATTTAATCTATAACATAATGTTTTAAATACACATGTGCGCCAAAGACCAACCTCTGAATCTAATTCTATCATTCCCTCTATTGAGTAGTTGGACCTTCATGTTGTACCAAATGGTTTTTTGCTTATATTTTTGTGGTTGTACTAGACATTCTGTACTAAACATCTTTATGTTATAAGCTAAATAAGTTATCATGAAATTGATTTATTATAGCTTGTTATTTTTAATATAATGTCACCTTAATTTCTATATATTATATTAAAAATTTATTATGCCGTGTCCACGCCGCACTCGTGTCCTATATTTTAAAAAATGTTGTCTCGTGTTCGTGTCATGTCGTGTCTGTGTCGTCGTATCCGTGTCGGTGCATCATAGCTAAGAACTCTTAGTGACCTTCATGAGTCCTAAAAGCAGTCTTTTGCATGTCAACGTGCCACATTCTAATCTAATGATATCCCTATTTCATCTGTGCTCCCTAACTCTAAGGGAAGAAAATTATCCTTCACCTGGATCTCATGCAGTGTCACCACAACCCTAGCAGATGCCTTTACTCTTCTCCATCTTCCATGTTCCCATCATCACCCCAAAACAACCAGTGTCAACTAGCTTCAGCCCAATCGGTCCACCACTTGGTTGGAGATGAAGTTGTGCATTACCCCACTGTCCGCCATAACTATCACTAATTCTCCTCATATCTATCCCCTCACCTTCATTGTGTGATTTGAGGTAAACCACACCACTGAGTTTAGAGAGACCTCCGCCACATCTAAGTGCAAATGCTCCTCGTCAACCACCTCCTCCTCAAGAGTCTCCTTCTCATCACAAACTGCAAGAACTTGCAGCAAATGATCCTTGCAATGGTGAACCGACGCAAATTTCTCATCACAACGGAAACACAATCCCCTAGCCCGCTTCTCTTGAACTTCTGCTTCAGTCAGTCGCTTGAAATTTCCCACTGGTTGTGCTTCCAATCCCCTATCATTGGGTACTTCTCTCTGAATGGGTACAGGTTGTACCTTTGGTGCCAAAAAAGTAGTTGTCGTCCGATATGAAGCTCCCAAATTGTTGCCTTTGTTGCTTTTCTCGAATGAGTTTTCTTCCTCCACCAACTGGGCTAGCTCCATAGCCTCCCCCAACCCTCCTGGCCTCAATAACCAGACAGCGGACCTAATTTCTGGCTTGAATCCCTTCATGAAATTCTCCTCCCATATTGTCTCAGCAAGCCTCCCCAATCAGTTAGAAAGATACTCAAACCTCTCCCAATAATCCATCGCTGTCACTTTCTGAACAAGAGCAAAGAACTGCTCGTAAAAGTCTCTTTCCCAACTGGTTTGGAAACGTTCTAATAAGTTATATCTGAACTCCCTCCACGATCGAATTGGTTCTCTCATGTCTCTCCACTGATACCAAAACAAGGCCTTCCTCTCCAAGCATAAAGCCACAACAGTGAGTCTCTCTTCCTCCGTCAACTCATTCATTGCAAAGTATCTCTCCACCCTATAGATCCACCATACGCATCTTCCCCTTCAAAAACGGACATCTTCAATTTTCTCACTCTTGGATCCCCTCCGCTCCAACTTCCTCTTCCACCTCCTACTCCTCCCACATAGCGATTGTTGTAATCTCTCCATTGTTCTCTCCCACCTCTCCTTTCATATATATGATCTTCCTCAAAATCAGCCCTCCTTTTTTCTTCCTCCCCATTTCTCCTCATACTATATCCTTCACCCATTTCCCTCCTGGTTATCGGTTCAAGAGGTGGCATATTTTTTCTATCGCCCAAGATTTCTACCTCTCGATCATCCCTTATTGTGCCAATATTGGGGTTTCCCCCACTTCCTTGGCCACCTTCCAGTCCCCTCGCCTCTGATGCTGCCGATTGGGTGTGAAACCAATATTTTCTTCATCATGTCCTCTAGGTTAGAAAACCTTCCTTCCATGGATGAAATCCTTTCCTCAACTTCATATTTGAATTAACCAACTTCTCCTTCTAGTTTCTCTTCCAAAGCATCCACTTTCTTCAGTGCCATAGGTCCCGAATCATGCTCTGATACCAATTGGATAGGACTTGATGATCAAAACAACACATAATAATATAAAAAAATAGCAACTTACTCCAAATAAATCAAGAAATAACACAAAGAGAGCTGTTTTTACTAATTTCCAAGCAAAACAAGACAAGATACAAGTTGATTCACTGTTCGAGAGATGAATCGTCTCTCCCACAATTCCTAGCAGCTACAAGGAACCCAAAACCTCACAAAAACTGCTGTAGAAATTCAAAACATAACATAAAAACCCCAATCCACCATAATCTACTCCCTTAAATAGCTCAAATCCCCCCTAATAAATGCCCCTTACATCTTTCCCAAAGAATCCCCTCCTTTCCCAAAGAATTTCCTCACAAAGCCTCTTCTCCTATAGATGATAAAAGAGGTGTTGGGCCCCACATGGGCAGTTGAACTGTTGCTACTAGTTGTATCATAGAGATGATTGGAGGGTACTTGAATATAGGTTAATGGTTGGATGACTGACAACTAACTTATTATTAATCATAGGATTAATAATCAGGAGTCTGGATAGCTCATGATGACCTCATATAAAAATGAGATCAACAGCTGGCACGTGGCACAATGACTATAGATTTTTTAGGCAGTTTGCCAACTTTGAACTACTTAAGCTAACCCAACCAGCATAAGGTAGCCTAAAACGCTTCTCTATTTTGGAGTAGTATTGAAGCAATCTAAAATAGGAAGATTTTTTAAAAAATCCTCCACTAAATCTTGGTTGAAAACTTGGATGTTTATATATATAGTCATCTAAAGCTTTAAAAATAATGTTGTCATCCACAACACGGACAACAATATCATTGTATAAGGCCATCTCCAACCGAAAATCTCATTTTTTACTCCAAAATGTCGTGAAACTAAAAAATATCGTGATTCATCTCCAATCGAACTCCATTTTACCCTCTTTTGCGAAGGTAACGGTTTTCTTCCTTTCGCGTGTTTCTTCGGCAAGTTCGATGGAGACAGAAAAATAGCGGAGATGAACAGTGCAATGCCAATATTGGCGTCCCACTGTTCACCCGCAACCAAATAGCAAAAGTTTTACCGTTCGGCTGGAGCTGGCGAGCGACGCCATTCAAGTGTTTGGAGTTCAGTTGGAGATGAACTAAGCTATGAACAACAATGGACTAATAAAATGAGTTGTCATCCCTAATCAATCGTGCTTGTGTAGCAGCTAACATGAATGAAAGGATCTCCCTCTCCCAAATAGGAGGGGAGGACCTTTAGTTGATTTTTTAAAAATAACAATTTAGCCAAAACGGTTCATTTTTATTAAATATCCGCCTTTAATAATTATATTTACCAGTTCTTTTGCATGTTTAAAAAATTGAAGAATTTATTATGAGATTAATATGTAGATCTTTCACAGATCATTGAAACTTAGATGACATAAAAATTATTCTTCAGACAAGCATTAGAGATTATGCTTACCTTCTCACCACCTACCGACCTTATCTTGCTATCAACAGCAGGGCTATATACCCTAAGAAACTCTGCTGAAAAATTGAATGAACTCCCATCAGAGAATTCAACCTCGACCTGTAAAGAAAATTAGATTTTAAGGTTACATGTGCAATAAAAAAATATTCCCTGAATCAATTTGATGTGTTCAGTCTGATTCAATTAAGTATGGGCATAAGCTCTTCTTGATTAACTCCATCAAATATACTATAAGACAAGCAAAACATTAATATGCATGTTAGTGTGTCCTAAATCATGCGTCTACCAAGTATGTATGCTGCATTTGTCTGAGATAAATGCTTTGAAAAGCATTTGTCGTATACCTGTAGCTAAATTATGTAGTTTTCCCCACAAATTGAAAAAAAAAATACTGCAGAATTTATAAGATTACATGCATTATGTTTAGAAGCTTATGTTTTCATATCATTTGTATTACACATTTTTGTTAGAGCTGTTTGCAGGGTTGTGTGTAGCTACACAATACAAGTAAACAAAGTACATGCTGGATCTATAAGAAAATCTCATTTTAGCCATCTTATTTGAATTTCTGTTTTTTCTTACTCTGTCATGGATCCAACCTAACAACCAATGTATCATTCTGATAAAAGCGTGTATAGGAAAATAGAGTAAGTCAATCGTAAAAACATTGCAGATAGCCAAGAACTTTATCAAAGATAGATAACAATAATTAAGACATAAATCTTCCATAAGAAATATTTCCTACATTCAAACTACCCAAGCTCCCAGTTGCTTGGTAGTTATGTAGTAGCTTCCTGAACAGAAATTAAAGAGATAAATTAGGTACTACCATCACAGTCGTCAGGAGAGAATTTTCATCAAAAATTTATATTTTATCTTAACTTGCAGCTTCTTCGGAATTGTGAACCATTAATGAATATTGCAATACATACTAAAAAAGATGAATTTTCCATTTTTACAACCTATGACTCACACACTTCCCCCCTGTTATCCTCATCAAGTTGTTAGCCATTACACTTTCTCATTTGGTCCCTTCCTCTTGCACTTGTGTTTGCTTACTCTGCCACCCTTTTTGTATTGCTAAGGCACATCAGCTCCCGAATTCACAATGCATCTCTCCACCCACCTGCTGCATTGACAAGACACTTCAAATTCCATGATGTACTAAACATCTCATGCCCACACCCCCTAACCCCCTTCTCCCTCGCTCACACGCACTTTCTTGTCCTATTGTAAAATACATCTAGCCAACCTTCTCTCTCCACCTCTCCCACACCCCGCCACATACAACCGTCTTTTGTGGAAAGTGGGTGATTCACATAAAGATTTGTATTTGGCTTCCATTAAAGTGTCTATTTGGTGAATTTTCAACATCCAACTCCAAACATATGTGAAATTTTCGGAAACTCTAGACATTCAATTCGCATGTAGGATTGATTTAATTAGAAAGAATTATGGACCTTTGAAGAATTTAAAAAGGAGCAAGTTTAAAACATGTATTTTTAATTCCATTATGCCGGAGCAATTTCAAGTCCAAGAGTCCAAGCTAATGTGGTCCTATATATTTGTAATTGGAGGTAACTATGCAGTATTTTTTTTTATAAGGATAAAACCTATCCCATATATTTTATTTTAAATAAGGTAGGTAAAAGGCTAATTACATATTTAATTCCTTCACACCATATCCTCATCCGTGAGGTCTCAAGCCCAAAACCAATCACTTAGAAACCAAGGAATATACCGTTTGAGCGAAAAACCCGTCGGTGAGGTAGTTGAGTGATATAATTCCAAAATATTTTTGGTTAAATCTAGACCTCATAAATTTATTTGTATTATTAAAAAAGTATGTTAAGAAACAAAAATACACTAATGATTCAAGGGTATTTCATTGTTTGACATAAATAGTGAATTTACTTATTACTTAAGTTAACAAAACAAGGAAAAACCTATTATCCTTAAGTTTCTATATCCATGATTTCATTCATTTGTTCTAGGCAATTCCTATCAGTTCCAATAGCCTTTCCTGGTTCCAAATCAGTCTTCTACAAGGTGCACTTCAAACTCAATTAGTTTTATCTCATACTTACAAGGATAATGTCAACTAGCGCATCAACAAGCGTGGCCACAAGCACTTATCATATCTTGTCAAGATGCTGTAGAATGAAGCAAAATAGGCAAGATAGTCACTACGAAGGACAAGAATGATGGGTGAGATCAAGTTAAGTACGGTGGGAGAACAATGAAGAACATCATAGCAGGTTGTGCATGAGCAATCCAATAATAAAGTTACTTTAGTTATAAGAAGCCATTACATGGCATCCACCAAGATAGCACAAGTCGCGAGCCACACTAGAACAAGGTTGTTATGCTGGCTAACACATCATTCCCAAAATTGTTGCATCAATCTATGCATAGCATGGGTACCAAAGGGGGTTATAGTTTTTTGTTCTTTTCATGGGAGTTTGTTGATGAGATGAAAAATATCCATGTTCAATTAACTCTATTAATAAATAGTCATGATTAAAAGTAGGTTACATAGTTGTAACTTTATAAAATATAGTGATTTTGGATATCTTTTAGGCCATATTTAGAAATGTTGTGCTATAAATAACTAGCCCCATATTAAATAGTTTATGTGCTGGGAATATGGATCAAAGTTGGACCTAATGCACTGCATGTCAAACTCATTTTCAACCCAAAAGCTTCTTAAGTCGTTATGTAAGAATCAACTATTAGTATTTGTGGACCGCTAAACCAATATATTTTCACCTATTTGATGTTAAACTATGCTAAGCAAATTCACATATATTGGCAAATTACTCTCTCACGTAAAAGCTCTCCATAGTCCATACAATCAGAACTATAACTCTCAACTCAGAAACTTCCAGACAAATCAAGTTGAGTGTCATACATCACAAAAGCCAATAAGCTCTCTCCACCTTGCCTTCTTTTGAAAGTTATTGAGAATGTTGGATTCCACTATCATAGGGATCCAACCATGGAAATTGTGCATTTATCTCTCAAGCCTAATGATGAGGACATCTGAAGATCAACGGCTATGATCTGAAGTTTATTTTAATTTTGACGTATCTTATGTATTAGTTTATTTTTATTTTTCTATTTTCTCATTTTACCCCTGGGGTGGTCATGTGGTGTTGTAGCCCGAATGACGTTTTAGTCTTTGTTTCTTTTCTTTTCATGAGGCATATTTATAGGCTAGCTCTCTTATAATTTGGGATGATGAATATTGAAATGAAATTTTAGTTTTCTTTGCTTGATCTCTAAGTGAGTTCATGGGAGGAGAGACCCTAGGTGGGTGAAAGCAATACCCGTCAACCTTTGGAGGAGTCCAAGGTTCGCGGTTCTACGATCTCTTTGTGAGTTATTGGTTCTTTATTTTATTCTTCATCTTCCTCTTCCCTCTTCCCCTATACCGCCGGCAATCCCCTCCCTTTCTCCCCAAACCGACGGCCTCAACCCCTCCTCGTGATTCCCCATTACCTGCCGCCCCTTTACCTCCATGCCGCCGACCACCTTGGCCCTCCTACCATTAATGATGATTTCCATCATCATTACCACTTACCAAAACACACCCAAGTGATTAGGAAGATAACTCATCAATTTGAAATTCAAATTTGAATTGAAAATAACTTCCTAAATCGACATAGCTATATTTGAAAAGTGTCTTTATTTGAAATCAATTCTATATCACGAATTTTGAAATTCAAAAATTAAAATTTCCCTTTATTACTTTCCTAAAATAACTCCTGTCAATTAGGAAAATTTTCTTTCTTGAATTCAATTAAATATTTGAATTCGAATACTTTCCCTAATGATACAACCCAATTAGGAAGCCTCCCTAATTTAATCAAATATGAAATTAAATCTCAGATTTAATTTCAATCAATAATTGAAATCAAGGGCCCACATACATCGAACCAAGACGCTTTCCCCTCCTTTCCCTAGGGCCGGCCTTCCCTCTCCCTATTCTCTCTCCAATCTAGTCACTAACTCCTAATTAAATTCCCCACTAATTCCCTTAGCAGCCGCCATATTTGGGATTATTTTTTTGTGTGTCAACTTCAAATCTCCCTCCCAATTAAATGTCTCCATGAATTCCTGCTTGATGCTCTCCGCATCCATCAAGTGAGCCTTGCTATCCAGCGGTAAAGAAGGACACGATTTGCTATCCATAGCTCCCAGCAACCCAAGGAGCAGGCCAAAATGTTTCTAAGCCTTACGGAATGTTGTTCAGGTCCTGTCCAAGGTCAAAACTGCTGTTGTCCTGAAGTTTTGCTTGTTGTCCCCTTATTCCAGCAAGAATATCTTGTTCTCCAGCACTCTGGAAGACCACACTTTGCTGACCCAAGTTCCCAGCAGCCTAAAAGAGCAGTCCAACGTTTCTTGCACCTGAAAGGTCGCTGTCAAAGATCTGTCCAAGACCAAACTGTTGTTGTCCAGAGAAATTTTGCATCTCTTCCTGCTGTCCAGCCAGTCGGGAGATCTTCGTGTGCTGTCCTAAAGTTTTCGATTGCTGCCCATCACATCAAGAAGGGTCTTGGTTGCCGTCTACTTCATCTCAAGCACCCAAACAACCACCAAAGCTTCGTATCTTCTATTTATTTGGGTAAACTCTTCCTTCAACCCTTTTATCTTTGTAGTTACTTCTCAATTGTGGTCTTAGTAGATTCATGAGAATAGTGTCAATACTCATCCGCTAAAACTTAGTACTACTAGAGTGTTGAGTGAGGGATCTCTCTTAGTGACTAATATTATTGTTAGCATAGGGATTTATTGATGAAACCATTCATGTATGCAATGCTAAATTAATTGATCGTTTACGGCCTTAACTCCTATGCATGTGATTTAACCTAAGCTTGTGTCAGCACTCTTTGTGCTTTATTTTTGTGTTTGAAATCACTATAAAGGTATATTTATTGTGCTCTAAATATTAAACATGCAAATTCATTAATCTAATCATCCTGGCATGTATGTTTCACATCACCTAACCACATTTTTTCTTATCACTTGTTAGGTAGCCAAACCAACTAATGTAGAACAAACATGCAATGATGATTTAGATTAAGGAAATTTGCACG